GTCGTCCGAGAAGTCCTAGAGACGCTGAGGAGAAGGAGGCTCTTCCTCAAGCCAGAGAAGTGTAAGTTTGAGCGAACCCGGATCGAGTACCTGGGCCTCGTTATCTCGGAGGGTAACGTCGCGATGGACCTGGTGAAGATCCAGGGTGTCCTCGACTGGCCCCCCCCAACCAAGGTGAAAGAAGTACAATCCTTCCTAGGATTCGTAAACTTCTATCGCCGGTTCATCAGAGACTTCTCTGAGAAGGCCCACCCCCTTCACAGGCTGACCCGGAAGACCCAAACCTGGAACTGGGGCCCGGATGAAGACGATGCCTTCCGTGCCCTCAAGGAAGCCGTCACCACAGCCCCTGTCCTCTGTTTCCCTACCGACCACGGCCGCTTCAGGCTCGAGTGCGACGCATCCAACTTTGCAACCGGCGCGGTCCTCTCCCAGCTCCAACCGGATGGAGAGTTCCACCCGGTAGCGTTCATGTCCAAAAGTTTCACGGATGTAGAGCGCAACTACGAAGTGTACGATAAAGAGATGCTTGCAATCGTCCGAGCCCTCGAGGAATGGCGACACTTCGTGGAAGGTGCTGAGGAGAAAGTCGAGATCTACACCGACCACCGTAACCTGGGCTACTTCCGGACGGCCCAGAGGTTAAATCGACGCCAGGCCAGATGGTCCCTTTTCCTCTCCCGCTTCCATTTCACCCTCGTCCACCGCCCAGGGAAGCTCATGGGGAAACCAGACGCACTCTCCCGCCGCGCTGACCACCTGAAGGGAAGGGACGACAATGAGGGGCTGACCCTCCTCCAACCGGCCTGGTTCGAGGCCCGTGCGATGGAAGCAGTCTCAGTGGAGGGTGAGGAGGCGGATATCCTAGAGAGGGTACGAGGAGCGAGAGATCATGACGAACAGGTGGTAAAGGCCATGAGGGAACTGGGAGAAGGAACGTTGAGGTCGGACGAGTGGGAGAGACAGGGAGAGTTGGTCCTCTACCGGGGCAGGGTGTACGTTCCAAAAGACCCACAACTCCGCCACGATCTGGTACGGCTACATCACGACGCGCGGGTGACGGGACATCCAGGGTGATGGAAAACCCTAGAGCTCGTCTCCCGCGACTACTGGTGGCCTCGGATGGCAGAATATGTCGGGCGATACGTACGTGGATGCGACACCTGTAACCACGTCAAACCCTTCCCCGCACGGAAGGTTGGGAAGCTCACCCCAAATAAAGTTCCCACCCACCATTGGCAGGTGATCTCGGTAGACATGGTGGGAGAGCTCCCAGAGTCGAAAGGTTATAACGCCATCCTAGTTGTAGTGGACCGTCTGTCCAAACGCATCCACGCGATCCCCACCATGACATCCGTGGACTCGGCTGGTATCGCCCAGCTCTTCCTAGAGCACGTCTGGAAGCACCACGGGCTCCCGGAAGAGATTCTTAGCGACAGAGGGAGCACCTTCGTCTCGCGCTTCTCGAAAGAACTTGCAGATCTCCTGGGGGTCAAGCTAACCCCCTCAACACCCTACCACCCCCAGACTGACGGACAGACAGAGCGGGTTAACCAGGAAATCGAGGCCTACCTTCGGGTGTTTGTCAACCACCGCCAGGATGACTGGGCGGACTGGCTCCCACTGGCAGAATTTGCCTACAACAACCGCGTCCACTCGTCCACCCGTCAAACCCCCTTCGAGCTTGACACTGGGCAGCATCCCAGGATGGGGACGGAGCCCACACGTACGTCCGAGGTAGAAGCCGCCGACGCCTTCTCATCCAGGATGATGAAGATGCAGGAAGAGGCGAAGGCGGCCCTGGAACACGCAGCGGACGAGATGGCCCGCTACTACGACCGAGGTCGAGAGACAGCCCCCAAGTACCAGGAGGGTGACCGAGTCTGGCTCAGCGCCCAAAACTATACGACTGACCGCCTGACCAAGAAGCTAGACCATAAGTGGCTAGGCCCCTTCAAAGTTGTCAAGGTCGTCTCCCCGGCAGCCGTCAAGCTCCAACTCACCGCACAGCAAAAGGGAATTCACCCAGTCGTATCTGTGACGAACGTAAGACCCTACCGCCCGGACGAGATCGCAGAACGACCCCCTGACCCCCACCCGGGCCCAGAACTCGTAGATGGAGAGGAGGAATATGAAGTGGAAAAAATACTGGACTCTAAGTGGTTACGCCGGAAGCTCTGGTATTTAGTAAAGTTCGCAGGTTGGCCGAACTCAGAGAATGAATGGCTCCCCCGAGACCAACTAATCCATGCCCCTGACCGGATCGAGGAGTTCCACCAAACACACCCCCACGCCCCAGGAAGGGAGAGAACGAACCCCCTGGCCGCTTCGAGGCGAAGCGGCTTAAGGAGGGGGTGATGTCAGGGCACACCCGCCTGACCCGGGCCCACCCGGGCCCACCCGGCCACACCACACCCGCTCCCCGCTGTCTATCCCCCTCCTTCCTCCCTCTCCTCCCCCTTCTTTTCCCTTTTCTTTCCCCTATCTTTATTTCATTCTTCTCATCTTCTTCTTCCTGTTTATTTCTTTCTATCTACACGGACCACCTTCCTTTGTATCGATGTACTATTGACCCGTCCGGCCCACACACCCCGGACGGCTTCCCGCTGTGCCCAGCACGCGCGCATGTAGCGGACGCTCTCGGGATCCCCCACGGGGACACCCGGATGCCTGCGGCTGCCTCCGAGGATGACGTGGCACCTGTCATGTGACTCAAGCCGCATGTACATAAATGTACCTGAAGTGGGAACCGAAGAAGTAACCTTCTTCTCACATTCTCCACTTCAGGTAAGTAGTATAGTTTTCCTCTTTAATAATAATAACACATTCTCCACTTCAGTCTGAGTGGCCAGGGACCACTGTCCCGGATCGGGCCCGCCAGTACGCATGCCCGCTCCACACCCCGCGACAGCCTCAGTGCCGGGCATTACCCCCGGGCCCTCTCGACCCCGGACGCATCCCTGACAGTAATGCTGAAATCCAGTTGTTGGGTCTACTATAATGGCACTAATGGAATGCCGTTGTTAGTACTCAAGAAGAAACCTGGACCCAATGGAGAAGTCCGCATCCGCACAGTCATAGACAAATGGGAAATCAATGAGAACACGGTGCCGATGTCTTCACCACTTCCAGACATTAAAGCTATACTGGATCGAGTTGCTCGCCATAAGTTCATATCCCTAGTGGATGGTCGAGATGCATATGAACAGATGAGAGTTGAGCCAGCCGATGAGGAGAAGAACTTGATCATTACGCCAGATGGTGTGATGAAGAGCCGGGTTATGTGCCAAGGTGACAAAAATGCCGCCGCAACATGGCAGATGACCATGTGTCACACGTTCGGTCTGTACATTGGAAAATGGATAGACCCATACCTCAGTGACATAATAATTTACTCAAATTCAATCAGTGAACATATTGAACACTGCTGTACTGTGTTCCAACTATTGTGAGAACAAAAGTTCTATTTGTCGACACAAGATAAATTACAGTTCTTTGCGGATGAACTAAAAATTTTGGGTCATGTGATTAACAGGAAAGGGATCAAGATGGATCCAAACAAAGTTGACAGTATTGGGAACTGGAAAATCCCCACAAATGCATCCTTGCACAGATTTTTGGGAGCCATAGGGTACCTAGCACCAAATTGCAGAGGAATCCGCATTCCTATGGGTGTACTAACCCCATTGACGAGTGCCAATAGGATTTGGAAATGGGACAAAAGACACCAATGAGCGTTTGAACAAATTAAAGAGATTGTTCAGAATCACCGCGAGATACACAGAAAGCCACTGGATTACTCCAAGAACGCACCTCCAATAAACCTAATTACAGATGCCTCCCTGACTGGAGCAGGAGGAGTGCTAAGTCAAGGAGAAGACCTGGAAACGGCCCAGATAGCCTGCTTCTGGTCTGGGAAGTTTACACCAACACAACAGAATTACCCTGTCCACGAGCGAGAATTGCTGGCAGTAATTGAATCACTAAAGCACCTGCGTAACCAATTACTCGGTTGCAAGTTTAGACTATTTACGGACCACAAACCACTGGAATTCCTTAAGTCCCAATGGAATTTGTCTCAGCGCCAAGCTCATTGGCTAGATGCACTAAGTGATTTTGATTTCACCATCAATTACTTACCAGGAAAAGAGAATTCATTTTCAGATTCCCTGTCTTGCATATACAGCAGCGAGCCTCCGGGGACAGTACGTGTGTCTTCTGAATTCGTGTCAGAAACATTATCCGAAAATGAGAGTGACAAGGATGTTCCTGGGCAGGCATTTTACACAGCTCCTGTGGTCACGGGGCCTGCTGCAATACAAACACGGAAACTACAAGCCCGGCCTCTACCCAAAGGAAAGGCTAGGAAGGATCCCAGTATCGCAAATGGTCGGAACGACCCAGAGGAATCATCAGCCATCACACAAGAGAGCCTACAGGAGAGTCCTGAAGAGAAAGTGAAAATCCGAATCAAAGTTCCAAAGCACATGCAAAAGAATCGCGAAACGGAGCCTGTACGATCAATGAACTCAAGACTGGATCAAATCCACTCAGAATTACAATCCGACGACCGCAAAGTCGTTAAACTAGGAAACAAACGCAACCTAAGTAGAACAAGAAAACAGGGGAGACTGCCAGTAACAGGAAGAGAGGCAACTTGGGCAAACTAGTACAAACCTGCCGGCCCCGCAAAAGCGGGACCACCCTCACTACACCATAGTGAGCCGAAAGGACCCCGCTCACCTGCCGGGGTGGTCGAAGCCTAGAACAACCTTCCAGCAGTCCCTGAAACTTAGGACCCCCCCTAACCAATAAGACCACGAAAAAAAGAAAAAAAAAGAAAAAAGATTTAAAAAATTAGACACACCCAGCTACTACCGGTCAATCCCCCCCCAAAAAACTATACAGCTGAAACCGGAGCAAACCAGACCCACACGTGCCCTGACAAACCCCTTAAGAAGCAAAGCCCCACCATATAACCACCGACCACGTAAGCCCCTATGCCGACTGCACACCAGCAACCTAACCACACCGCAACCCCAGTGACCAGCACAGGCCACAAACGCAACAGAGAGGACTCCATCACCTCCGAAACACCAGTCCCCCCCAGAAAAGAGCGAAAAATGGCACAGACTGACCAAAGCCAAATGCCCGAAACCAATAGGGACGGCCCCTTCACGCCCACCCCCCCAGTCAAACCTGCAATCAGAGTCCTAGCGACACAGACTCCCCCAGCAACCCCAAATCTGACTGTAAACAGAACCCCCTCTCCGGAAGCCATGGAGCTGTCTCAACCCCGCAGAATCACGTACATACCCTCGACCTCTCCTGAACCCGAACCAGCCCATGCCATGAACATCACCCCCGCACCCGGACCCTTTGACATGCCAAATGACACCCTGGTCGAATACAACACCTGTCCCCTCCCGGTTAACTTCGACTACAAAGTCCTAGGAATGCACAGCTCACACCTCTGCCTCAACGTCACGGATGAGGCCCTTGAAGCCTGGAAACAGATTAACAACCACGCGGTAATCATCATACCCACCTACATGGCATTCTCCCTCACGAAAATGCAAGAGGCGAAAGACCACGCCTCTACCTTCATTAAAAGGGCCTTCCCCGACTCAGCAAACTCCATTAGCACCATACCGGCTGCCAATGCAATTGACGCGCAAGGTGACGACCCGCTCCCCTGGGGAATACTGGTAGATGGCCTAACGCTCCGTGACACCGCCACCATCCTACACCACCAATTCTGGCTCTCTAAAGCCTTTAGCTTCATTGCATACCCCGCTTCCGACTTCACATCTGATTGGTTGGGGAACTGGGCTTTCGCAGCCACAACCAAAGACAAAGAAGCAGTCCAAACGTGCTTAAAGACCACCCTCAGCCACCCCTACTCGAAAATAGGAAGGTACCTCATTGAAAATGTCCCCGACGAACTTGAAAGACAAGCCATAATAGAATCGGCCCGAGTAAGACCCCTCAGCGTCACCACCCACAGCACCACAGCAACCCACTGGACATTCCTAGTCAAGTCCCCGCACCCCAAAGACGTCATAAAACATGGCTACTGGATCGATGCGGCAGAAGCCACGGTGTGGTACCACCCGGCCATCTCGAAGGGTGCCAAAAGAAATCCCCCCAAACCCTGCAGGTGCTGCAAAGGACGCGACCACTCAACCCTCCAATGCCCCCTAACGGAACTACCTTTCTGGCAAGAGATCATCACCCCGGACAAACCGAATGACGCCGTCAGGGCCAACGCCGACATCGCCTTGGCAGCTGAACAAATCGGTAACCAGAACCCGGAGAACATGGAAACCCACACATACTACAGGGGCAGAGGTAGCGCACGTGGAACACACAGAGGAAGAGCCACAAGACACAGGGGATACCGTGGTAGACACCCTACTGGAACGAGAGGTAGATACGCTATGTAAATACCACCCCGTTAACCCCCAAAAAAAAAGTTAACCCAATCGCTACTAATACCAATCCCAACCCTCACGACTCAAGAACCTAGTCAGGTTCTCAAACTGACTAAAACCCCAACATGACGAAGCACAATAAATCCAACACAACACCGGCCCCTCTGGATCCCCACGGAATCCCGGAGGGGAGAGTGGTGAAACCGGCACCACCTGATAGTGCTGGCCGGCATATCAGCCCCAAACCACAAGGTCCCCCTTCATCCAAGCTTGGAGGCGAAGGGGCCGCAAAGGCAATCCAGCCTCTCCCCCGTGCCTTGGCCACAGTGGGTAGGGGGGCGAGTACCACGCAAGCTGTGGCACAAACACAAACAGGAACATATGACTCCCCGGACCAAATGAACAACCCAGACCCCAAAGTAAAAACCACCCCAGTAAACAGCCCTCTAAGACTCAGAGGTGGGAGGGACCCCCCGCCACAAATTGGGCAGATTACAATAGGCGCCCTAAACATCAAAGGTGCCAATAGCCGCAACACCAGAAACAAATGGAACCTAATCACGAACAAAATGAAAAAAGATAAAATTGCAATACTATGCCTATCTGAAACTCATACAGACGAAACCCAAGAAGAATACCTAAATAATAGATATAAGACAACCCACCACATACTACACTCCTACAACCCAGAACACCCCAGAGCTGGCAGTGTAGCAATAATAGTAAACAAAGACATCATTAAAAGCGACCCTACCCTCACGGTAAACCTGATACCAGGCCGAGCACTCCTGACAAACCTAAAATGGACGCAGGAAAACCAATTAAACATTCTAGCAATCTACACACCAAACATGACATACGCCGGACACGAGAATACCGAGTTCTGGAACAGAATTGACAGCCTCACAACCCACTTGGAAATCAACCTAATGCTAGGAGACTTTAACATGGTTGAAGACGCAATTGACCGACTCCCCCAACACTCCGATGCCGAGGAAGCAATAGAGGCCCTCAGGAAAGTTACTAGCGCCCACAACCTCAGTGACGGATGGAGGAAAACAAACCCGGCTCCCACACAGAACTTCACATTTGGCCACACATCGGCAAACTACCTGTCAAGAATCGATAGAATATACACGACAAACGACATCTTAGAGAGATCCTCCACTTGGGAAATAACAGACCCCGAGATCCCCACAACGGACCACCAACTAGTAACAACAAGCATTTACAACCCCTACACCCCAGTGATTGGACGAGGCCGATGGGCAATGCCTAAATACCTGATAAATGACAAAACATTTATAACAGAAGTCGAAAAACTCGGGAACGAGACCCTCACCCAGATAGATAACCAAAGCACCACGAACACCCAACAGCACCTCCAACATTTCACCCAGACCGTTGCAAGCCTAGCAAGAAAACTCGGTAAGATAAAATCAGGAAAAATGAACTCCACAATCAAGAAACTCACGAGAAGAAGAGACAAGATCATTACAAACCTCAACCCCCAAAACCAAACCAAACTCCAGATAGATCAAAAACGTATCCAAACGCTAACGGAAAAAATTAATGAAACAGAAAAACAAAGACACGAGAAAATAAAATCCCACTCCAATGCCAACAAACGGCTCCTAGCAGAATCCATCAATAAATACTGGTGCCGCTGGGGCAACGAAACAAAACCAAGAGACACCATAACAGAACTAGAAAGAGACACTGTCCCACAAACCTTCACCTCGGACCCCAAAGAAATGACCGAACTAGCTGCGTCCCACTACAACTCAATCCAACAAAAAGACCTCAACATCCCCGAACACACCAGAGAAAACTGCATCAGAAAAATGCTAGAAAATGTCACGAAACTCACCAACCAGGAGGCAAGGGAACTAGGAAAACCCCTAAACCACGACGACATAAGCTTAGCACTAAGACAATCACCGAACGGGAAAGCCCCCGGCCTAAACGGTATACCAATGGAGCTATATAAAAAACTAGACAATAGGTGGAGGTCCAAGAAACACAATGATAAGGGAAGACTCGACATCGTAAAACTACTCCTTAAAACCGCAAATGATATAGAGGAGCATGGAATCCAGGCACCGGAAATCCTAGAAGGCTGGATATGCCCCATCTATAAAAAGAAAGACAGAAGATCAATAGTAAACTACAGACCAGTCACGGTACTTAACGCAGAATATAAAATAATAACAACGGCCTTGATGAACAAACTACAACCCGTAGCCCCCAAACTCATAAACAAATGCCAAGCGGCATTCATCAAAAATAGAAGTATTTTTGACCAGATAGACCTGGTAAATAGGATGATAGAACTGTGTGAGATCATCAGCCAAGACGGAGCCATCATAGCACTAGACCAAGAAAAAGCCTATGACCGCATCAGACACGACTACTTATGGAGAACCCTAAGAGCCATGAACATACCAAACAACCTCACGAACACCATTAAAGCGCTGTACAGCGAAGCCAACACAAGGGTTATCCTGAATGGCCACACAAGCGAAAAATTCCAAGTCATAAGAGGGGTACGCCAAGGAGACCCCCTCTCCTGCCTATTATTCAACATCGCAATTGAGCCGCTATCGGGAGCAATCCGAAATGCAACGAACCTTAAAGGCCTAAAGATCCCAACACCCACAACAACCCAAAGAGCTATCCTCTCCCTCTTCGCTGATGACGCCGCAGTCTTCCTCTCCAGAGATGACAGCCTAGAAGATCTACACACCATCTTGGAAGAATGGTGCATAGCATCAGGGGCGAAATTCAATAAAGACAAATCAGTAATAATCCCAGTAGGATCCATAGATTACAGGGAAAACCTCATTACCCACCGGAAGATTAACGAAAACCACCCAACACAAATAGACCAGGAAACCCTGATCCTAAGAGATGGACAATCCACACGCTACCTCGGGGCCCAATGTGGCAACAAAGTGACCAACAATAACCCGTGGCCTGACATCCTAGAAAAGATAAACAAAAAACTAAACACCTGGGAAAAAGCATACCCAACCCTCGAAGGGAGAAAACTGATTGCCCAGATGATCATAGGGGGAATGACGCAATTCCACACTGTAGCCCAAGGAATGCCAGCGAATATAGAAAGAAAACTCGACAAACTTACCAGAACCTTTATATGGGGATCGGAAGCCCCCCCACCAATAAACACAATCCGCATGATGAGCCCAATAGAGGAAGGTGGCAGAAACATCCTACACATCCCCTCTAGAAACGAAGCCATAGATATAATGAAACTGAAATGTATCCTAGAGAACACCAACATAAGACCCCTTGCAAGCACAGCTGCGGAAACGATAATCACCCTAGCCACCCCCTGGGAAATCCTATCAAAAGAGGAACAGGACCCTAGTATCACAAACATATTCTCCCAACGCTTATTCCCTAAAGAGAGATACACAAGCAAGTCTATCCCCAGAGATCTAAAGAGAATCCTTAACACCGGCTCAAAATACAACCTAAAATTAGAGGCCCCATACTTCACCGACGAAATGAAACTAGACCTACCCGCATGGCACCATATAGGGAAAAGGGACGACTCAGCCTACAGAGAAAGAGGCCCAATGGAAAAATGCCTAAGAAAACACCATGAATGCTACAAAACAGGCGACTTAGTCATACAAGTGAGCTACGCAGAAAAAAGAACCCACAAACCGAAAAACAAGAACTGCCCCTGCTCAAAATGTGTAAGCCTCAGAACGAAAGGATGCAAGAACCCGGACTCCTGCTACACGAGAGCTGAGAAAATCCTAAGTAATATAAAATCGAAGTTCAACCCGTACGACCTGGAAACCCCAAAGTTAACGATAGACAACGTAGACAGAGAAAGCATAAAAAGATACGCCATAGGAAAACCCGAAGAAATAAAAATATTCGACAACACCCCATCAAATAACAACGACACCTTAGCAAACTTCAGGATCTTCATAAACAAGAAAGAAAGACAAAAGAACAACTCACCACCCCAAAAACTAAAATTCAGCAGACAACCCCAAGACACAACTGTATACACAGACGGATCCTGCATAAACAATGGCGAAGCGACAGCCAAAGCCGGGTATGGGGTCTGGTTTGGAACAAATGACCACCGCAACCAAGGAGAAGCCGTAGACGCTAGCCTAACCCAATCAAACAACATTGCAGAAATGGTCGCGATTCTCCACGCAATTAAATCCACCCCCAGCAACGCGCGCCTCCACATAAAATCGGACTCAGAGTGGTGTATCAAAACCCTAGGCCCCGATCTCCCTGGCATAGAGGACCATGACTATGTGAGAAAAAAGAACATCAACCTAATAAAAGAAGTCGTGAGCCTCCTAAGAAATAGATCAGCCATCACCACCCTCGAATGGATAAAGGGACACTCAGGTATCCCCGGAAATACCGAAGCAGATAGACTAGCCGCAATAGGCGCAACAAAAAGGCCTGCAGCAAGCAACACTGTAATATCGACCCACCCCAACCACCCCCGCTGCCCAAAAGGGGCCAGGCTAAGATCCCTAACCCAAGCGGCGGCCCTAAAACTCATAAAAAGAGAATTAATGAAAAAACACAACAAAACCAACAATACCGCCACAAGAAACCTGAATAAGA